AGGACGATTTGCGATCCCCCCCCACCCCAACCGCAGCAGGGGGACGGGGGGCCGAGCTGTGGTCCCCCCCCACCTAAAGGAACCTCCAGCCCAGGTGGCCCAAGGACAATTTCCCTCTCCTCCTTCCCACGAAGTGCACATCAGGAGTTGCTCCTTGGAAAGGCGAAGGAGCGGTCCGGTTCCTCCTCCCCCTTTTGGAAGGGGGGACACCCCATCCCAGCGGAACGGAAGGAAAGTTTATTGGAAATAAAAGGCCGTCGGCCAAAACGAGACCTCTGTCAGGCTCCTGGCTCGTGAGCCGTAACGAGCGGAACGGATTTAAAACGAGAGCGTGTGCCTGCCGGTTGGAAGGGACAGGTGACACTCTGCAGGAGCTGATGGTGACGGCACAGCCACCCCCAGAGATCACGCTGAGGAGCTGGATCTGAATTAAATCACAAGCCGGCTTCCTGCCCCGCGCCCTGGAGAGAGTGCAGAAAGGGTGAGGGAGGACAAGAGGGAGCTTTTAATCTGTTCTGAGCAAAATTCACCCATGAAAAAATTCACAACGCTCAGGAATCGCCCTTCCACCCCACCACAAGCATGCCAGGTTACCAGAAAAATAAGCCCGGCATGCATTTAAAGCAGAAATCAGTCTGGAAACGGCCCCCAAACCCTGTGTGACCAAGCTCTTCTAAAAACAGCCCTTGTCACAGCCGGTGGGGACAGGTCACAAGCAGCTGGTCCCATCCTCCATCTCCTCCATGGATCCTGCAGCTGCTCTGCCGGGTCACGAGCCATTCCCGGGCAGCCCGGATTCTCCTCGGCACAGCAACTTGTCCAAAGCAAACCCAGGAATCTCCCTGTCACATCCAAGGGAGGGCAGAAACAAAAACCCTCCCCAAAAATTCAAACCTTGGTAAATATCAAGTGTTTGGGAAGAGAATCTTCCAAATGCTAAACGGATGCTCAGTAGACCTCAGCCCATCGAGAGAAGATGGAGGAGAGAAAATCCCACTGCACGTCTGCGGTGCTCGAGCACAGGGTGAGCGAAGCCCTGGTGACACCTCTGGGTACGGCTGGGAGTGTCACATCGGTCTCTTTGGCACCACAGGATGGAGAAAATGCAGGAGGAGGCTGCAATTCCCACCCTGGACAGGCGGGAGCAGACAACCCGCAGGGAAGCGCTCTGTGGGAAAGGAACAGCAGAGAAAAGCAGATCTGAACTAGTGACCCAGGGGGGCTGCTGTGCTGCGGCTCCTGGGGGACCCGGTGTGCTGAGGGGACAAGACAAGCCCTGGCCACGTACAGCTCTAGATCTGGATCGCCCTGACTGCGTTATCCACCATCGCTTTGACCCTGGAAATGTTACAAGAGAAGCAGCGTATCGTCTGGGAAAAGCGGAGTGTGTGCCACCTGGTACCACCAAACCCTCCTGACAGAGCTGCTCGTGGTGAAACCCTTTGAACTGGGGATAACTGCTGAGAAAGAAAAGCATAGGGACTCAAAAAAAACCAAGAGAGATTTTCTGAAGAAATGCTCTGAACGGGCAAAAAGGCAAAGCGAGCTTCCTCAGAGCGACGCTTCCTGAAGCAGCTCTATCAGTTTATAACTGCAGCTATTGCGTTTAAAATTCATACCCCATCCTGACACTGACTTGATGTCATGTCTAAGCAAATCCCAAGTTAAATCCAGAAACTGGTGTATCCAGTATGCTTTACAAGATGCCCGGGGAGATAGCAAGGCTGGAAGGTAAAAACTCCTCAGATCTTGTTTACCAGAAGCTGGGGATTAGCAAGCCCGTAATCAGAAAGAGAGTATGCAAAGATCAGAGTCAAACATCTCTGTTCCTCAAAAGGGATTCCGAGAAATACCCGAGGGTGTTCAATACTTCTTAGTGTGCGGGATATCAACCTGTCTCCTGAAAGCGCTCCAGCTAACAGGAATCTTCTCCAGTCAGACACAGAAACCATCACCGCCCGCCCTCGTCAGACCACTGACCACGGGGCTGTGCCGGTACAGACCCATGTTTGCTGAAGAAAAGGTTTCAGACTCCTCACCCCACTGCCGCTCCGAATTTCTCACAGGCCACCCCTGATGCTTACTGTCAAGCTTTTAATTAAACACACGTAAACGGCAACAGGGCACCCCGCAGCCACGCTTTGGAAACCACCACACCGTGCCCAACAGCAGTAACGCCCGTGTCCTCCCGGCTCTGCAGCTGCCTAAACATTTTCAGACTGTAACTCCGATGGTAATCCGAGAGTCCCTGCAATTCAGAGTCATCTAAATCGGATCATCAAACCTTCACAAAGCAACAGGGTAAGAATGTTTTGAGTTGTTTTTGTAATTACTGCTAAACGCTGCATGCTGAAAGGCAGAATGCTTCATCATCCCAGCTGCAGGTTTTGATGCAATTTTCGAGAATTATGTAATCCCAGTCAGCTGTGGTATCATCTGCCTCAGGTTTCTTGCCTTTAGCACGTAAAGATAAAAGCAGAATTTACCTTACTACACGGAGTCCTGTTCTTTCATCTCGTGTTACACTAGGCGGTAATTAATCAGGGCTTTTCCTGTAGCCGTCCAGGAGAAACAAAATCCCATACTCTGTTTAACTCGGATCCCAAAGCACAAACCCCACAAATGCAGGTGACCGGCTGTTTTGTAGCTCCACAGAAAAGTCTCCTCGGTGCTTTAGATGCTGCAAGAGTGTCCGGGAGCTGAAAATGAACATTGAGATGAATAAGTGATACACAGAAAAAAAAGTGCAGTGAGATTAACAGCTCACCAGAGACATTGGCGCAGATTCTCACAAACCAACCCAAAAGGCTGGCTCGCACATCAAGGGAAGGCGGCCCAAAGCCCCACGTCACCCTCTCTCCTAACGCACGAGCTATTTTAAGCTCTTCAGCACCAGTAAACAGGCTGCAGTGGGTAATCTGTGCTGGCCTCTGTGCTCCCAAACTGTTCTCCGCGTAGGGGCCCAAGGGTCCGTAAGTACACAGCTCTCCTAGAAACCCGGTGATGCCACTTACGATGGCTCTGACTAATTACCAACGAACTTTCCGCCAAGGCAGGTCCAAAAGAGGAGGATGAAGGGCACACAGGATAGCCCTGATGCAGCACAGTAACAGAATGATCTAGAAAGTGTTTACCAGCAGAGCATAAAACCCCTTCTTTCCATCACCTCTGAAATGCCACCTTTCAGAAGAGGGGCATCGTCAGATTGATCAGCACTGCTGACCAGCTACATCAGAAGTAAAAAAAAAACACCCGCTCTGCTCTCTTCCACCTCTCTGCTGCCTCTGAAACACCCCCCAGCACAAGCAGGGAACATTTGTTTCCTTAAATTCAGAGTACCTGAAGCGTAGGACCCCGTTAACAGCCCCCAGCACAGCCAGATGCACTGCAGGAGGAGCAAACTCACAGCAGACGAGAACGCAGCGGTCCGGGGGTCCTCTAGTTCCGCTTGTTCAGAAATACGCCACCATTCCCCTCGTATTCACCGTGCATTTACCATCGCAGTTGATAAAAAGACCACAGACTGACAAAGAGATCGTAATTATGGACACAAACAAAGGTGTAGTAGAAGTAGGCTTTATGAAAGTATTTAAATTTTGCGGCAAATCTCTGCATCAACATGGGCAGGTAGGCAACTAAATGCTTTGCAGCAGCAATTTCAGTTACCAAACTATTTCTCGGATAGACATTTATTACAGGTAGTTTATCTGTTCCTATTTCTCCAAGAGTTTAAGGCACAAAAGCCTGAAAAGGGCTTATAACACGTACATAAGTGCTATTATTTTCACTGTCACCTCTAATGCAACATAATATTAGCTTAAATATATTGCTCGTCCATCCAGCTTATACAACATCCAGCCGAAAGCTGCTTTCCAGGTTAGCAACAATTTGTTGCACAATATATCACTTAGATTGCTCTGACCCGTTTTTTTTTGCTGCGAGATCTTCAGTTCCACCAGATTCACTCCGACAGGAGAGTGGGAGATGATATGAAATCTTAACATCTCAATGAGACCATCAAGGTGCGTTCACAATGAAAAAAAGGTGTGATACACAAAAGGACATTGAAACAAGGTTGCTGGTAAAAGTGTTTTAAACCACTTGACTGGTGGGGAATTATTTCCTCATGCACAGGTGCAGAGGCAAGAGAAACGTGCAAGACCACCAGGCAGAAGGCATGGGTCTGTAGTGTTTTTTATAACACTCCTTTCTGTCTTTACTCTCCAAAATGCTCCTCAGGTAGATCGCTTAAGAACACCGAGCTATAAACGTGCTAGCTCAACATCACAGCTCAGGTTAGGCAGAACAAGCTTTCATCTACGGGGTTCTTTCCTGCGCTCAAGTTACAGCAGCCTTACCCAGTCACTAGAAAGCTTCTGAGACATTTCAGTGGTATCCAGCAATGATTTTTTTAAAAGAACATGTTTATGAGAGTTGGATCAAATGACTGAAGAGAGTTAAGAGGGCAACAAAACAGAAAGATGGGCAGGAACCAAAATGCAAAGGGTAATTTTACTTAAAAGACCAACTTCTTTATTGTACGTTGGAGTAGAGTCTTTTTCCCCTGTGCCATCTTGTTGAAAGTTTATAAATTACAATTCCCAAGAAGTACTAAGAGTTCATTTCAAGACAAAAGGAATAAAACTGTTGCAGTTCTAATTTTCACCATGAATAAAAGTTACCATGATGCTCCTATGACACTCATTCCGTACAGGACGCGCCACAGTCTTCCTGTACTTCGAGTCCCAGACCCGGGTGGAGCCAGGGCCACCCCTCACTGCTGCAGGATCCGGGTGCAGCAGAACCGTCCGGAGCGCACTGGCGGGCTTGTCATGTACACGCAGTGCCTCAGCAACGAGGCTATAACACGGCTGGAATCTCTGACGAGACAGTGTCCAACGGCTGCCAATGGCAGTCCATCAAGGCATCGTAGAGTTCTTCACTCTGTTCCATAAACTGTTTATTTGCTTCGTGGACGTCCAACTGAGGTGTCGGATCTGAAGGAGGAATGACAGACAAACAGGTCACACGCTGAATGTGTCAGGAAAAACCCACACCTCAAAGCCATGTTAGTTTCATCAAAACCAAATGTGGGGGGAGTCACAAAACACTCCCAGCACTTGGGACCTGACTAGATCAGCCTAGGAAATCTTTCTGCAATGGGATAAGAAATAACTACATCCAAACACGTCCCTCTTTCCAGTGGTGATTGCCCCATAGCAGAGTCGACAGAGAGAACGCATACCTGCACCTCGCAGCCCGGGGTAGCCACTTAAACTGCCACAGAAGGTGGGTTGGCACTAGGGCACCGGACTGCAGAGGGGAGGAGCGGAGGCGCAGGCACACGTTCCGTTCTGCTCCCTCCACTACAGGGTCAGGGCTGGGGATGGTAGCATCTTACGCTGCTGCAACAAGAGTCACCAGAGCTCGTCTGCCAAAGCCTCGAACATCTCAAAGCATTTCACAGTCAGTAACCAAAGAAGTGCCAGCAACACCCAGCGAATTACATACGAGTATGTCCCCTGTTTTACAGTCGGGAGAATGTTTGCAAAGTATTTTGGAGCTGCATGGCAACCCAGAAGGTACAATTCTGCTGCTACCAACGCACACTGAACATTTCACAACAATCGTATTCCCCAAACTGCCTGCAGGATGTAAAGCTCACCTAACAGCACCCACAAGCTAAAGCTCAGGCTATCAGAGCAGCACAATCACACAGCGGCTCTCAGAGGGCAAAGCAGTGAGCTGACCAAATGGAAAAACTGCAAAACACATCAGGAATAAAATGCTTATAAACACGATCGGTTTTAGCTACATCACGTAACATATCACAGGAGAATGGAATCAAGGAAAAGGAATGATACACTGGCAATATGTTATTGCAGTTTCCTACAAATGTCAACATATTAATTCAATCAACGAGAAAAAGACACCCCAGAGGTTTTCTAGCCATAGTACTGGTGTGTTAGTTCCAGAGGAAGGGCAGCTCTCCTGTAATGGTTGTAAAAGCCATTTAAGGGCTTTCTCATTGACATCATTACCGATACCTATGGATCCCGTAAAGGATCCAGCTGCTTTCTACTCTTACTGTGTGATTTTTAAATGTATTATAATGACAAGAATAAGATGAACTACACAGTGCATATTCCACTCAAGACAGAAATTTGGAACTACTAGGATGAAACGATTTTTTCTTGCATCAGTAAATGAAAACTGCCTGGATGTGTATCTAAAACCCCAGCACAGCTTAGTGTCCCGCTGCAGGCAATGACTGCTAAAGCAAATATCTTATCAGTGTGCTCGCACCGTCAATTAGTTTCAGCCCTGCCAAGGGTCAGACCAGGAACAGCAACTGTAAAATAAGGATGCAATTGTGCTAGGTCACAGTGACCCACAAATCCTCTCAGACCTCAGATTTACCCAAAGATAAAGGTACATTACACACTGAAATTAGGGGCCAATTTGAGAAAGACTATCTCTAATCAGCACAGAACAAAAGACAACTTCAATATATAACTCAAGAAACGTACCTTCCAATGCATCCTCACCAACTTCTTCATACGACTGCAAGGAAGAAAAAAACACCTTAGGACAGCAGATATTTATCTCTTCTTCTAGGAACCCCACCTGCTGATCACTACTGTCACACACTGACTTTTATATCTGACTGATTACAACAGAACTCTTCACACATCAGCCCTGGGTTCCACTCCCAACAGACTCCATGGGGGAGATCCCACATTAAACTTCTAAGAGAGGCAGCAGTTCTTTAAATTCCTGTGGGGAAGCTGGCTGCTGTCCTGATCCGTTCTGTCCTCTAAAACAAGGCCTGTGAAGGATCCCAGAAGGCAGCCTTAGCACCGTCTCTCCAACTGCCTGTATCAAGAGACCCCTTCTACCATGACGACTATATTAAGAGACCCTCTCATGCCCCCAACACCTTTTTCCCTCCAGTCCCAGCAGTACCTCCCACACGAGGCACGAGTACACTAACAGTTCTGCTTCCTCATCACATAGCTATATTAAGCGCCCCCAGAAATTAATATAGAATGTGCCCATCACTGTTTTGTAAATGATTTCATGTTTCTGTGCTGACAGCTCACTGAAAAGCGAGTCCGTCGCGCTGTCCTACCTGCATTGTGCTCTGCGTGTATCCGTACTGGGGATAGCTGTAGCTGTAACTGCCCGTGTTCTGGTCGTAGCCCCACTGGGCATAGTAGTTGTGATATTGTTGGTAATACTGGTTATAATTATAGTTGTACATCTGATTGTACTCCATTGGTTTCACACGGTTACTTAAAAAAATAAAACAGGAATAAGTTGCAAATAATGCAGAACAATTATGAAAAAAAACCTCAGTGAAATAGCTTCAGATACAATACAGTACATAGACAAGGCTTCGTCTAACAAGCAAATCTCAGTCTTTAAAATACACCCACTATTTACTGCAGCTGTATTTATCATTTGCATACATTTGCAGAAAGAAAGAGGTGGTTTAAATTTAACGCCCTTTCCTGTATTCATATTTATTCATTAATAAACATTGCTTTCATTCTTTACGAGTTAATTTAGTATCGCTTCCTGGGTTTGGGAAGGGAGGAGTTCAGGACCATGAGCCTCAGTTTAGAATAATCCTGAACCATGATCCAGATTCTTGGGTCCCTTTTTCCTTCTGATAAATAGGATGAAGTTAAGTACTCTGCAGCTTCCTGAGACAAGGTACTGAGTCTTGCTTTACATGAAGCACTAAAGACTTAGCGCCTTGCAAAAGAACTGGGGGACAAAAACCTCTCCTGTCACTATCGTACAGAAGCCTAAGGACCAACTGGTTGTCCCCATTCCCACTGAACTGGGTGATCTTCAATGCACAGAGCTGGAAGAGCTCATGAAGTGAAAAGGACTAGAAGTAATTAAAAAAAAAAAACTTAAATAGCCTGTGAGCTGTCTAAAATTCCCATTCCCAAGGAACTGGGAATCCCACCTGATTATCAAGATTTGAAATAATGAGATGACAAATATTGTTTGAAAACGAAAAGATGTCACATGTAAAGCTATGGCCAGTGATGAAACTAGTGAGAAGTAGGAAGAGGGAAACATCAATCTTCTCACCATGATATACCCTCTTTTTCTGCTTTTCTCTTCCTTATCCCCCCAAGATTTCTGAGGTCACTGAAAATCTAAATATTATTCAAATAGGGAGCAATTACTATGATTTGTATTACCCTAGTGCTACGAGCCCCAAGTCAGCCCAGGATCTCATTGTATCAGGTTCTGAACAAACACAGAAAAAAAAGTTAATCCCTGCCCCGAAATACTTATATTTAGTAGACATTATAATAGAATTAGCAAGGTAATTGAGCGTCGCTATCCAGAAATCAATGAGCAGATTCAGACTATTTCAACTTAATGCAAAGGAACATACACCTTAAACATAACCATATTTAAATACTGAGTGTGTACATGTGTGTGTATTTAATAATGTGTACAATTAAAAACAGCGTGAAATGCTTAGTCTTGATCTAATGTTATCATTTTAATTCCTCTGCATTCTGATGCTCTAGCTACTTTACTATATTTGTGGGTATTCCTTCACTTTGTGATGGAAACATGCAGGAAATGCACTCAAAATACTAAAAGATGTTTAAAAATACACGTGATTTCACATCATGGTGCTCTAAGAGAAACGTCTGGCTGCTCTTATACTCACGCTTTTGGTATAGCCACACTCAAGCGTACAGGTTTAGAGCCCAACCCTACAGCTCCTTGACACTCCGTCAGCGCTCTTTTCTGTTCCAGTTCATCCGTGAATTTCACGAACCCGTAACCTCTGCAGAGATACAGAATAACTCATAGAAAATAAAAACCACAAAATTCATGCCATTGTTTTTTTTAATATTTACAGTGACGTCAAAATAGGTTTTGAAAAACAGCAGATGAAACCCTTTCAGTAGGGCTGTCCCTGCTCTTAGCAGAGATTAAATGATTCCGTCTTCCAGTTGCTTTGTATGATTTGCAAAGCGCTTGAAACCCTGTGTCTAAGCTCGGGCGGTACTTCCAAGGGCTTGACAAAAGTGAAGTCATTCTTGTGTCAGTCGATTCTGGGGAATTGGAAGTGAGCTGACACAAGACATGTTGAAATGCATGAGTAGACAGTAGCAAAGCCTCAAATCTATACTGGGAGGATACAGATAATCTAAACAGTTGCAAGTCAGCACAAGATCGACACGACATAGGCACCGTTTAGATCTAAACCGGCCCCACTGTGAAGGAAAAAACTGCTTTTCTGTAGGATCAACTGAGATACACCTTCCAATCAAGTCCTTTTTTCAACAGGAAAATACTCAAATGGGCTTTCTGTCATTCCTAAGAACCGCACAGCCCCATCAGCATTCTTAACGCTGGACCTGAAAATGAGCTCCTACCATCCAGTTGTTAAAACTGCTCTGACAGCACAACTCCATCAGGGACAGCACACGGCCAGCAACCCCGCGGCTCCGTGGCAATCTTTCCCTGCCGTGTGCTAGCAGGGCTGTACGTCCGCCAGACAGAAAATATTAATTCCTCTCCAACCCCAAAGGTCCTTTGCGTGGGGTTCTGATGCTGGAGTGAGTCAGAAGCAATGCAACAGCATCCAAGAGGGTAGTGCCAGGATCCCAAGATGGGATGGGCTGCCTCACGCAGCAGAAAGATCAAAGACTTAGGTGTGGGAGGGGAAGAGGAATCCATCTAGGCCAAGGAAGGAGTTTGGGAGGGAAAGGGCTTGTCTACCTGGGGAAAAGAACGAGCTGTAAGGAAGGGTGTACATTTACAGCATATTATCTGTTCTGTGGGAACGCTGAAACACCAGGTAACTCACTGTTTTGAAAGCAGCATCACCTAGTACTCGCGGTAGGCCCAGACTGGAAGCTATTGCAGAGCACCTGGTGCCCCATTAAATGCAATATCTTGCACACCAAGCTATACAAACCAGTCCAAATCCAAGCCTAAAGACTGTAGAAGCACAACTCCATCTGAAAGTCGAGAGGGACAGTGTTTCAAGATGACCTAGACATTTTTCAGCATTTTCAGCAGTGCAATAACATACTGCCAATGCACAAAGAGCATCATACAGAGGGGTGACAATACGCTGTGGCGGTGACCTCCAAATCCCACGGGTATTGTAGACTGAATATCAAAGAATATAATATTTTTAGATAACTAAAACCTAAGCTGATAGAACCATTCTTTTTCCCTTGCTGCATTATAGCTTTCCTGTTGCTCTTGTTGAAAAGAATGAATAAAAGATGACTTACTTGGACACTCCTGCCTGGTCCAAAACAACTTTTCCACCTCTACACGATGGATAAACTTTAACAAAAAATTCATATAACATGCCGTCATCCACATCAGGAGTCAGGTCTCCCACAAAAAGTGAATATTCTGGACTAGAGAAATAAAGAAAAACTCTTAAGCGCAATCATACAAAAAAAAAAAAAAAAAAGAAAGAGGCATGCTGAGTGACAGCTAGAATTTGGCCTAAACATCTGACTTCAGAAAAAAGCAATATTAAAAGGACCATTTAACCGGTATTTCAAAGTGTTGCTAGTTAAGTTGTCCAGGTGACTAAATTTTTTATTGACACTGCTTTTTAAAGTTAACTCAAGCAGCACAACCAATCTGCTCAATACCACTTTTTACTTAAAGAGAATTTAATTTTTTAGTTCTCACAGGATATCTCTGGACTTCTAACATAGCAAGAGAACATTTATGTGTCATTTACAGATTTGCTATTTCCAACATATTGATCTTCAACTAGAATATACGAATTAGATACTTTGATGCTAAAAAGCTTAAATATCTTAAAAGACATTCCTTACAAATCTGCTGTGCCACCTAAAAGGTAAAGCCTAAAACTGCCAGGCAGACCATGTTATCCTCTCTCTGCTAAAGACTGACGGGGCAAGCCGCTGGAATCAGAAAGTTGCGTTATCCATCTGTATTTCCAGAGTAAACAGAACTGTCAGAATTAGTTACCAAATGTAAATCTCATTCTTGTCCCCATTGGTCGTGCCTTGATTCTAATCTAAACAGCTGTGTTTGGTTTTTTTTTTTAAGATTCATAATAATCTAAAATAAAAATAAACTTGCTGAGATATGACTAACGCTACCCCAGTAAACCGCAGGACTTTGTCGCTTTCACCCTCGTACACACCTGCCTGAACATCTCCTTGTGTTGTTGTTACTTCACCTGTGTGAGCGTTTCTGGGGGGGTGTTATGAAAGGCGCTCACACCACCCAACCTCAGGAGCCTAATTCAGCCCGACTGTCTCCTCACGCACCTTTCGCTGTCAATGGAGAAACCATTTTTATTACCCAGAGCCTCCTTCTCTCTCTTTGCTGATGGTTGTCGTGCTCTTCCCAGTTAAGGCAGGCAGTGTGAAACCACCGCATCTACCTCCAGGTGCTGAACACACTCGTGGCATTATATAAAATTAGGATGGGACGCATCCTCGGGTACACAGAAAGTGCTGACACACTACAGCATCACAAATATCCACAGCGAGTGCCAAGACAGTTTAATGCAATGTACATTTTTAATTACGGGGTTTAGTTACCTGGCATTACTGGACAAAGTGGTACAAATTTTAGTTGTACGCATCTCATGAATACTCTCCTACCCACGTTTTATAGCTGTACACCCCATCCAGCAATGATGAACTTGTGCTTTTTCAGATTTTGAATCCTCTTTGCCAGGCAGCTGATGAAGAGACATGACGCAGGCAAAACTAATATTTGAATATTGAACATTTACCTGTTATCAGGCTGTTTTCCATACGTTGCATAATTCAATTTAAATCGCTTTGCCTGAAACAAGGAAAAAACAAATCCATACATTCAAACGTTTTCATGTGAATTCAAACAATTAAGAAAAACACAATAAGCTTATTTTACACAACTTTCTTAATGCTTACGGATGTTCAATGCTCTTGGGCCATCCAGTTAAGGTATCAAGGACATTTTTATCTGACTTCAGTACAGCTGTAATAATGAAAATCAGCAAAGAACCTGCACTACAGAGTGGCATACCAAGAATTCAAGGAGAATTTGGCCAAAGAAAGCCAGCCTACTGCGAGTCCGTACCCTAGAGATCAGGAGATTCGTTCAGTAGAGTGGAGAGCCCAGTGTGATCTGTACCTTGTATGGTGCATTTTCTTCCCTCAAAAACAGCGTAAATAATTCTTGCGAAATAGAGCAAAGACTTCACTCTAGGCTATAATCACATAATCATGTTCCTTGCATGCTTGTGCTCACTGGTACACAGCTCTTTCCATGGACCATTTACAAGCTAATACAAAATTCAGATTCCACTCCGAAGCACTTTCATCTTTTTTTGGATCTCACTCTTCATTGCAATATTTTGGGTTTAAAAATCAATGAGAGACCTGAGAGTACTTCCCCTCAGATGGGAACTGGGGACACTAACTCTGTAAAACAGAGACAGCAACAGCACCACGGCTCTCTGTTCTTCCTTTGGCTGATTCAGTCTTTAAAAATAAATAGAAGAGTGAGCCACACTCAGTTTTCTGTAAACAAGAGAAAAAGTATCTAAACGCAGGAGATGAGCTGGACAGTTGCCTGCTGAGCGCACTGATTTACGCTGCCTACGTGTGATCTCTGCCTGACATCTGTAATTCTTTCCACGTGTTAAGTAAATCATCCCTCTACACAACACCGCAGTTTTAATTAAACTGTGGGTAAAGAAGGGTATTCCCGAAACCAAACTTCAATGATTATATCACTCCTTGCAAGGGCTGCTCTCTTCCTCTCTCTACTGACTGCAGAAGGCTTCTAGGAAGATCAGCTTCCCTTAACCATGGGTTCTGATTTGCATATTACATAGGAGAGGTGATTCTATGATTTTATAAACGATTCCTCCAGGCCTCCCATCTGCCCCTTTCAATGGGGGATGCCAGGCTCTCAGGAAGGTTGACCAAATAGTTCAACCGGAACTTTCCAGTGTCTTACTCAGGGTAGTAACTACACTGCAACAGGAATCATCAATTTCCCTTACCATATCACACCGTAATCGAGGTGATTCTAAAGCTGCTTCATGAACCAGTCACCCTAGCTCTGCAGCCAACTCCGGTGGGTACACCGGACAGCTGTGTCAGCCAGCCCGTTTTAATCTACTCCACATTCGAGTCAACATCCTAAAATTAGCCTCTATGACTATTCCTCCTCTTCTTCCTAACCACCTAGCTGTGATATATCCAGACATTTGTTGTGTATTGCAATTGTACAATGGACCAGCTCTTTCTGCACTGTAAATAGCTCTGAACAATTTCTGTTTGCTACAGGCCAAGAATAACGCAGGGCTGAAAAGTCATGTTTCTCTTGTAAATCAAAGTTACTCAAAACTCAATGCAGACCTGCAAGTTCATCTTGTACATATATAACAACATACACATCGTAATGAATTAATATGGAACTACAAACGAAGAGAGACAAAGGACTGCAGTGAGCACACTCAATCTATTTTTCCCTTGTTCATCTCTAGTTTCTCATTAGTCCCACTTTGGCAATAGTAGAAAGGCTCAAAAATAAAAAACACACACCACAACATTTCTGCACCTGGATTTTATCCAGACATTCACACAGAAATTAGTACTTTTCCAACAATTTTCTGAGCAAGAACATTAACAGTTTTATGTTCAGTAATTTACCTCTAAAGAAAAGAATAATCCCAGCTTGCTAACTACAGAATTTGTCTGTAATAATTCAAAATACAGATTCTACACTATCTATTCCTTCCCAGTTTTGCTCCCCAACAAGCTGATTTCATTTACTCACCGGTGTAGCACCAGGAAGCGGTTTTCCATTGATTTTGTGTAAACATTTCTCTGCAGTAGCTAGATCTGCAAATTCTACAAAGCAATAGCCTGCTGGAATTCTGAACACAGACACAGGAGAGGAGAGAGAAAGATTTCAGATTTAAAATACATTTGAGGAGGAATATTACAATTTTAGAAAACTGGTAGGGAATTTGCTATAGTTGCGATACTTCGAACAGTTTCTTTTTCAAAGTATAAACATTAGCTACCAAAATGAAGCTAGCAAAGTAATCTTGGCTCTCGAGTCAAGCGATAGCCCCTACTTACCAGTAAGTCATGTCAACAGAAGCACATAGAAAACAGTTTTGCTCACAATTAGTTTACTTCCTACTTTCATTCACCATATAAATTTCCCTACCCAAGTTTAAACACTCGTAAACTGAAATTAGAAGATTTACACGAACATGAAACTACTTTACTCTGCATACGGTCACTCATTTTATTCCAAATGAATCCAAAAGGGTCCTCACATGGCTCCTTCTAACGCCAGACTTCCCACTTCTGCCAGCATCACTCAGCTGCACTAGCGCAACGATTAACACAGACTGGTCACTGCAGCCCCCAGCCCAGGAGGTGTCATTCCCGGAGGGACCGTATGGCATACGTATGCTGCTCCAAATGAGTGCTGAGGCACTGCAGGATGAGGGCCAAACCCTGGGTAGCTGACGAGGAGGTCGAAGAGCCAGCAATTGTCCTCTCCATTGCTATCATCAACACACCCATATTGTTGTCAGCAATGGTGAAAAGCTCAAAGGGAAAATCATTCTAAGATGGACAGGACACAGTGGGGCCATGCAGAGGGCAAACAGTTCAATCCAAACGCAAACCGAGAACAAGCATAAACAGTTACCCTGTCAACCTGTTTCGAATGATTTTTACACTCAGTACAAGCTCTCCCATGGTGGCAAAGGCTCTTGAAACAAAGTTTTCATCCATATATGGCTCCAGCTATAAAAGCAAAAAAAAAAAAAAAAAGTTAAGACCAGGGCAACTACAAAAAGGAGAATATATGTGTCAATGTCACCCTAAGCAGTTAAAACATTATTGAGAAGTATTTTACCCTTACACTTCAAAAAGAAGACTCATTTAAGAGGGTCGATGCCACTCAAAACCAGCAGGCATGCATGAACCAGGCTCAACAGTCTGCAAAGTGGAACCCAAGAGACAGCATGAATTTCAGAGAACAGGGAGCTTTCACAGAAGGACAAAAGCCATTCAGAAACATACAGCAACAAACGGAGCGTTCGCTACACCGAGCAGGGGACAAGGAGACGGCAGGCTCCTTCTCTGTACGCAACAGAGGCTGGGCCAGCACTGTAGGTACACAGGCGCGGCACAGCCCCAGGTGCTGGGACAAATGGGCGGCATGCGTCAGGTCACACAGCCCGGCCAACTGGGGCAGGGGTTTGCAGAGCCGTGGAGCTACACGGGGCAGCACGCGGAGGGGAGACCTCTCATCGCATCCCGCAGCAGCTCTGCGCTTCGTAGCGCATGTGGGTGCACTGACCGTGTTTGTGTCGTAGGGGAGAGGGAGGCACGGTGCGTGTCAGAGGGTGTGTGAAGCGCAGGGCAGCGGTGCTGTGTGAGTGAACACGCTGGAGGGCAGGTGTCTGTGTGGTATAAGTGACTGGAAAGTAGGAAACAGAGCTGCAATTTGGACCAAATGTATGACGAAGAGACTGAAGGAAAAGGATGTCTCTCTGTGTACTAAAGTGGAGGAGGGAGCTAACTCAAATTCAGGTTTTGTGCAATACACGTACTGCTGCAGAGCACTGCGTGTGACAGCTGACATGAGGCTGGGGTGTGGGAAACATATATAGCTCCATATATAGAAGTATATGTACCTGTGTGAGTAAGACAGATGGCCTTGGGATAACTGACAGCCCTTGAGCATGTCCGTGTGTCTGTCAGGTACCAGGTGGCTCTGTCACTTGTGTGTGTGACGGAATGTGCAGTATCTGTGCGTATGTGACAGTGGATGACCATCCTGCACTCGCATGTGCAAAAGGCAGCAGATGCCCCGCAGAGGGGTGAGCGTAAAGCAGAAACGACTCTGTTTCGTGTGCCAGAAGCAGGAGGCAGCGCTAGTCTGTACAGACATGACGTGCAGAGGGTGATCCTGTGGTGTGTGTGCACAGAAAGCCAGACTCGTAAAGGCAACAGGTGGCTTTTGCTTGGATATGTACGTGTGTGTTTCACAGAGCGGCGGTCTGCTTGAGAGAGAGGTGACTTGAAAAAGATGGGCTTACAGTGGAGAGGCGGTAGATAACCCTTTGTGTGGGTAAAGAGAAAAAGGACTCTACAAAGTGTGTCTGCACGAGTGGAAGGCTCCCTGAGGTGTCAGCGTACACATGCAATGCCGCCGCAAACTTGGGTGTGCATGAGCGGGTGTGAAAGAAGCAGCTGGCGGGATCCTCAGGGGTGTGCTGGGTTGGGTGTACACACACAGGAGAGAGGCTGAGGAAGACTACAGGGCACATGTGTGCGTGTGCAAGCAATATGCCGGTGTGAGGGTATAAGAAAGGGTCCAGAGAAAGATCTGCGTGCAAGTAACAGGCAACATGGAAACAGCGATGGGCTGGTGTAACTGCATATGCATAGCTGTGCGTATACGCGGGTGTATACAAGCATGCGACAGGCAGCAAGGACGCTACGATACAGGGGTGTGATTGCAAATCCAACTGTGAAAGTGGCAGACAGCAGAAACACTACAGAACAACACGAGCACATACATACAGGCAGCGAGGGATGCTCTTGGATAGGTGCACACCAGCATGTGAGAGCAAGTAAGCCAAAGTGCCTACAAGGGCGAGTACAAGCGTGTGAGCGCAGCAGCACAAGCATGAGAGCGAGTGTGTGAGTGTGTAAGTGCCTTAGAGCGTATGACCATGAGCATGTAAGAGCCTACAAGCACAGGAGCATATAAACCAGCACAGGAACCCTAGAAGCATGCAAGTGTACAGGCTTGTGAGTATGTGAGTGTGTAAGCACCTCATGAAGCATGAGCACGAAAGCGTGAGAACACATCAGTGCTCGCAAGCATGCCTGCCCACCAGCATGAGCACAGCCAGCACAGGACACTGGTGTGAGTGCCACCAGCGTGCCTGTGACACTGGCTGTGGCAGGCAACGAGGATCGCTCTGGTGGGGATGTGTGTGTCTAACTGTGTCTGTGAGTGTGTAACTGCCCACCAGCGTGCCTGCCAGGCCAGGGTTAGTGCCTCTGAGCCTGTGTTTGTAAGTGTGCGTGTCAGCCTGCGTGAGCCTGCCAGCGTGCACAGGAGAGAGTGAGTGTGGGAGTGTCAGCTCGGGAGTTTAGGTGTGTGCCAGTGTGTGAGTGTCCGGGAGGCTGTGGCAGTGTGCGAGGGTGTCGGTGTGAGGGGGTCAGTCAGCGTGAGGGGGTCGGTCAGGGTGAGGGGGTCAGTCAGGGAGAGGGGGTCGGTCAGTCAGTGAGAGGGTC